GGGGCCCCGTACGGATGAGCTCGGCCGCTCGTCTTCGGGCTCCGCGTTCTCGCCCTACGCCGGCTCCACCGCCTTCACGGCGCCCTCGCCGGGCTACAACTCGCACCTCCAGTACGGCGCCGACCCCGCGGCAGCCGCCGCCGCCGCCTTCTCCTCGTACGTGGTGAGTGAGCGGGGTCCGAGTGAGCGGCGGGCGAGGGCAGCCAGGGCCGGGCGGCGGGCGGGGGCGGCGTGGGACACGGGCCTAGGCGCCGCTGCTCTCCGCCGCCGAGCCTCGCGGCCCCCGCGGACTTGGGTGATGGTCTGGCTCGGCGTCGCCCGGGCCTCGGACTCAGGAGTTGCTCGGAAAAGAGCCACGTCTTGCCGGGATCGCCGAGCTGGCGGGGGGGGGCTCCAGGGGGAGAGGCCGCTGCAATTAAAGAGCAGCACTGGGCTCAGACGTGAGCTCTGGACCGCCCTGCAAATTTTATATTTTTGGCTTTGCCATTTTGGAAAAGTGGTTCAAAAGAAATAGACCCGAAATCTGAGCAGAAGCGTGCTAAGTCTATGTAAATGGGCTTGGCCTCGCCTTTAATTAGTCCTCCAAAATGTTGCAAATCCGTAATCCTATCTTCGCAATCCGATTTGGAGGTATTAAATTTCTGAAAAGTCGGCCGAGCTGCGGTGCATCCGGGATTTTTCGGCCCATTGGTGACTTCGGTTTGGGGTAGCATTTTTGGAGGGTGGGAGTGCCGGGACAAGGCTCAGCTTTTCGTTTGCGTTAATTTGCGGGGGAAAGAAAAAGAAAAGCCTTGACGTCCCTGGTTTCCCCCGGGCGCCCAGCGTGCAGCCGCCCGGGAGCGGAGCGCGGAGCCGCCTCTGTTGCCCGGGCCTCTGTCTGGATGGAGGGCCGGGCCGCGGTGGCCCGGTCTGTGCACGGGAACGGAAGTGCCCGGGCAGACGGGGGCCTGGAGGGTGGCACCCAGGCCGGGTCGGCTTCAGGAGCCCCCCAAGGACCCGACTCAGGAGTTGGGACCCCCGCTGCCTTCTGAGGGAGGGGAGGATTGCTCTTGGGGCCGAACCTGCCAGCCCTGCCCCCGGGGAAGCTGGAGCGCGGCCTTCACCCGCCCGCAGACCCCGGGGCGTAGGCAGAGGGTGCTTCGGGGATTCAGGTGGCCTGGCAGTCTACGGCCCACGCTCACCTCGCCGCCTCTCCCCCGCAGGGCTCTCCCTACGACCACGCACCCGGCATGGCGGGCTCCTTGGGGTACCACCCGTACGCGGCGCCCCTGGGCTCGTACCCGTACGGGGACCCCGCGTACCGGAAGAACGCGACGAGGGACGCCACCGCCACGCTCAAGGCCTGGCTCAACGAGCACCGCAAGAACCCCTACCCCACCAAGGGCGAGAAGATCATGCTGGCCATCATCACCAAGATGACCCTCACCCAAGTGTCCACCTGGTTCGCCAACGCGCGCCGGCGCCTCAAGAAGGAGAACAAGATGACGTGGACGCCGCGGAACCGCAGCGAGGACGAGGAGGAGGAGGAGAACATTGACCTGGAGAAGAACGACGAGGACGAGCCCCAGAAGCCCGCGGACAAGGGCGACGCCGAGGGCCCCGAAGCAGGTGGGTGGGCACGGGGGAGGCGTGCTGGGCGGGAGTGAGAAGGAGGGGGCGCACGGACCGCGGGCTGGGCAGGGGCCTCTGCCTCTGCGGGCGGGCCCCGGGGCCTGCCGCGCGGCCTCTGCGCCCTGACAGCCCGGGTTTCGCACGCAGGCGGAGCGGAGCCGAAGGCGGCTTCGGGCTGCGAGCGGCT